TAATAGTGCATGAAATGACCCTACGAGATGACCCTGAATCAAATACTCTTTGAGGTCCTGAGTAGAGCAAAGGTGGCTGCTAAATGTATAGGGAAACCCTTAACCCTTTCCCAGCCCGCCGAGTTGTTTACGCAATACAATCCTCAGAGAGGGTCAGTGAGTTTGCAGAGGTATCCGGGGCTGAGCCGTTCTCAAATGTCATCTATAAATCACTGTCCAAGCGGCGTAAACGCACTGTAAATCGACAGCGTAATGGTGCTATTGGATTAGATTAGTTCCTTAGATATGCGCTGATGTGATAACAGGAATGAATGACGCTAGCAGGGACATTTTTTACTGTAAATCACACGCACAACTCTTTCAACACCTTGATGCCACAACCTTATTCTGGACAGGATGGCTAAGGTCATCAACCGGCACGAGAAACAGATGTGGCTGACAAATCTGGTTAGAGAATGTGGGAGCGCAGTAATGTTTCAGCAATCAGATGAGATCCTCTCTGTGGCAGTCAACTCATTATTTGCTGGAGTTGATCATAGAGGTTTAATACAAGTCATTTTGTTCATTTGAGAAGAGTTCAATTAAAAAGTTCCATTTTCAATAGCCAGCTCCTCGAAGGTGTCCACATATGCAATCTTTGATTATATTTTGAATTAGGAAATCACTATAACGCAGTCAAAGATAAAAGAGATTCGTTCATTTGTCAAGATTCAAAGTGTTTATGAGCATGTGTGCAGGCTTGTCACTGAACTCGATGACCCCTATCAGCCGGGGTCATACGAGCTTGAGTCATCAGTTTGGGTTCATGTGTTTTCTGCCTGTCTTATGTGTGTAGGGTCAACGAGTTTATGAGGCACACGCATGGGTTCATACAATAAAACTTAATAAATGAATCTTAATTAGTTGTGTTAGTTAAGTTTTAACTCATTCTATGTGTGCTAGACATAAAGAAGAGGTGCTCTTTTACTTTTCCAAGCAAACAGATGAAAAACAAAATCCCTGACCTGATATGAATCTCACAAGGGCATGCAAGTATCCATGTGGAAATCATCAATTAACAACACCACAGAAACCACATATTAATTACCCAGAACACCTTAGCAATGCACTGGCAGCAACACATCATGACGGTGAGTTCTGCATGGCCAAACACATGCATTTTCATGGATATACATGTGCGGTTTTATTTTGTTTTCCATTTCTTTTGATCTACTCTTTCTGAAGAAAATCAAACCAGTGTTGAGCAATAAAAAATCCAAAAGTATGAAAGAGCTTAACCAAAATTTACCAAAGAGAGAGTCTTGTATAAACCACAATATTTCACAGCCTAGTACTGCCAAATAACCAAAAACAAGTTGAGGGGTTTAAGTCCTTGCATGGCTGTGGTTCTTTCAATAGCTCTAATACCTTGTTTTTGCCAAAAAACGAAACGACCACCCATGTGTTCTGGAATAACCTGAGGATCGGGTCATATTGCATTCATTTAGTCCTTTAGCCCAATAAAGTTAACAAAAGTGGAAGTTTTATTTGTGTATGTTACTTCACAAAACATGTTATTGTTGTAATATATGTTTTTAGGTTAACAAAAACATGGCCTAACATCACAATAAACTCCGACTACTCGCTTCACTGTTTAAAGTCCAAACATCTCCACCATTAACCAACAAATTCTGAAGTACACAAGAGTTAAAGTACTTTGATTCCTTTCTGTTATGCAAACAAATGATACTTCAGATATCTTCATACTGACTTTCTCAAACAGGATGGAATGTTATAGAGACACTACTCACTCAAATGTGTGCTCCTGATTTCCCTCCTAAATGATGTCACTTCCTGGAGGATGATGTCATCAGGGAACTGGCTTTGTAATTTAAAGAGGGTTTGCTACTAACAGAACGAAAAGTGACAATGGGGACAGTAAAACATATATTTTTTTAAATGATAATCAATTGAAACTCGATTCCTAAGAAAACTTGACCTCTGCTCAAACCACAGTAGTGAAATGTATTATTTTATTTTTTTATTATAATTACTGAAATTAATTATTTAATTCAATATACTATTACATACACTCACCTAAAGGATTATTAGGAACACCTGTTCAATTTCTCATTAATGCAATTATCTAATCAACCAATCACATGGCAGTTGCTTCAATGCATTTAGGGGTGTGGTCCTGGTCAAGACAATCTCCTGAACTCCAAACTGAATGTCAGAATGGGAAAGAAAGGTGAATTATGCAATTTTGAGCGTGGCATGGTTGTTGGTGCCAGACGGGCCGGTCTGAGTATTTCACAATCTGCTCAGTTACTGGGATTTTCACGCACAACAATTTCTAGGGTTTACAAAGAATGGTGTGAAAAGGGAAAAACATCCAGTATGCGGCAGTCCTGTGGGCGAAAATGCCTTGTTGATGCTAGAGGTCAGAGGAGAATGGGCCGACTGATTCAAGCTGATAGAAGAGCAACTTTGACTGAAATAACCACTCGTTACAACCGAGGTATGCAGCAAAGCATTTGTGAAGCCACAACACGCACAACCTTGAGGCGGATGGGCTACAACAGCAGAAGACCCCACCGGGTACCACTCATCTCCACTACAAATAGGAAAAAGAGGCTACAATTTGCAAGAGCTCACCAAAATTGGACAGTTGAAGACTGGAAAAATGTTGCCTGGTCTGATGAGTCTCGATTTCTGTTGAGACATTCATTTAGTAGAGGCAGAATTTGGCGTAAACAGAATGAGAACATGGATCCATCATGCCTTGTAACCACTGTGCAGGCTGGTGGTGGTGGTGTAATGGTGTGGGTGGGGGGGGGGGTTTCTAGGCACACTTTAGGCCCCTTAGTGCCAATTGGGCATCGTTTAAATGCCACAGCCTACCTGAGCATTGTTTCTGACCATGTCCATCCCTTTATGGCCACCATGTACCCATCCTCTGATGGCTACTTCCAGCAGGATAATGCACCATGTCACAAAGCTCGAATCATTTCAAATTGGTTTCTTGAACATGACAATGAGTTCACTGTACTAAAATGGCCCCCAAAGTCACCAGATCTCAACCCAATAGAGCATCTTTGGGATGTGGTGGAACGGGAGCTTCGTGCCCTGGATGTGCATCCCACAAATCTCCATCAACTGCAAGATGCTATCCTATCAATATGGGCCAACATTTCTAAAGAATGCTTTCAGCACCTTGTTGAATCAATGCAACGTAGAATAAAGGCAGTTCTGAAGGCGAAAGGGGGTCTAACACAGTATTAGTATGGTGTTCCTAATAATCCTTTAGGTGAGTGTATATGATAGGCATAAAAATGTATACCAATATTTGGCCATTTTGAGGTCATGGCTCTCCTAAACACAATGGTGATGAATCTGTTCTGTGTGTGTTTTGTGGACTTGATCTTGTTAAATGCTACGGCGGCACAGCAAGCCCTGCGGAGGGCTCAAGGTTATTTAAACAAGATCTATGTGCTATGAGTCAACATGTTTGCTGTACCGCATATCTGTACTTTTGTAAAACTATACTAAACTATGATGAGCGTGGGATTAGCAGTGGGCTTCAGTTCAGATGTAAGATGATGTGTTTGCATCATCACTGGGCAACACGCTTCCCCCGGCTAATTTTATTCTCGAACCTCATGCTCACGGGTCATACGATACACACATGAACAACATGGTCCGGCTGCACGACCCTTACACAAATCCACAATGCTAAACAAACTTCTCAGCCAAATTCGCTATAGTTTACATGGCGTTTCAGCTGTGTCCCAGTGGAAAATGCTATAATTCACTGCTTTATTATTCTATAATTGCAGTCTGCATGACATCACATTCATTGAATACTTCATATTTGTACATTCTATGGATATGCACTTGCTCTTTTACACATATGCTACTTTTTAATGAAAAATCTTGATGTTTATGGACATGATTCCATATTGCATATCAACTATAGAACCTCTGTGTTTTTATGCATTATAAAACAGTTATTTTATTTTCATTTATGTCCCTATGATTTTAAATTAATCTATTCCTTTTTATTTTATAATTTTAGTAATTAAAAAAAAACATTAACTTTTATTATTTAGTAATTATTTTAAAGTTGATTTTATATCTGTTTATTAAAGTAATTTGAATCAGTGCATAAAATACACTATACAAATAAAAAATAGTCTGCCTTGCATTAATAATATAAATTCTTGATTTTATTTCAATTTGTGTGCTCTAGCCTAATTTAGATTTTTCTTATGTATATATATTCTATAAATCAGTATTTTAGTGAAGTTTAGTTCATTTTGTTTTCTTTATTTATGGTTATTTATAGAACTTTGAATCTCTACAGCTGCATAAAACGCTATATTTGTCCTAATTAAAACGCTATATTTGTCCTAATTAAAACGCTGTGATTCAACTGGTGATACTTTTTTGGTCTTCTGGGATTATTATGCATGCTGTCTTCATGACATCATATTCATTGAATACTTAATATTTGTACTTTATAATATGAATATGCACTCATACGCAACTTCTTACTAAAATCTTGATAGCCATGGACACATCCATGTTATTTATCAACTATTCTGATTTCAATACTGTAATAAATGAACTTATCTCAATGCAAAAAGCTTTTAGAACCTTTTCTTTTTTTTTCGGTATTATCAATCAAGTGCTGCACGTATGCATGATGCTTAACGATGATGAAATGTGAGATGTCATCAATGAAATTCCACGTCGAAATGTTCCAAGGCACCATCGCAAATACTGTACAAACAACCTCGATTGGCGATCGCCTTTGGCCAGGAGCGCACAGGAGCTGCTGAGTAAATATTTGCGGTCTCAGTGTTGACTCAGAGAGAGGAGTTGAGGCCAGCTCAAAGCGAACCGCCTCACCTCCGTTATGTTTATTTATAAAGCGCGTTTGAGGGCACTTCCTCGGTCTGTGCGGGGTCATGCGATAGGCTACTCACCAACGTAGATCCATAAATGAATGGTGGGCTCGACTTCCACACGCGATTCCTGATTGGTCGCCGCGTCCGACCGAGATAAACACAGCCGCGAGTATAGGCCTATATATATAGTGGCATCTAAGAGAAACTCCACTAACACTTTTACGCACGTCGTTTTACGCACGCTTAAAGATGAGAGTGCATGTCCAGAAATGTCCTCAGATTCTGGAGCTACTGAAGAAGAAGTCGTCTGTGGGGCTTCAGCACTGTAAGCCCACATCCTCCGTGTGCGTGCTGGACTCGAAGGATGCTGGCGGGAGCGCGCCATGCGCGCACAGTCTCGACTCCATTCCTGGACCAACAAACTGGCCGCTGTTCGGCAGCCTCATCGAGGTGCTCCGGAAAGGAGGCTTAAAGAGACAACACCAGGCGCTGGTATGAACCTCTGCATTAGCCTATTATGCATTATAAAAAATATTTTTATTTTCATTTATGTCCTTATATATTTAATGATTAAAAAAAAACTTTTTTTGTGTCAAAAACTTTTTTAAATTATTTTTTAAAAATCTGTTTATGCCTATTCAAAATAATTTGAATCAAAATGTTTATGAAATACACTATTAAAAAGGCTTTTCTTGCAATAATAATAATAATAATAATTATTATTATTAATAGTTAATTTATAGTGTACATATAAATAAGAAAAATATAAATGAAAAGCACACACAAATTTAAATACAATCATATTCAAATCATTATTATTATATGATTAAATTTGTGTGGGCTTTTCATTTATATTTTTCTTATTTATGTACACTATAAATGAACTTAAACTTATTTAGTGATATTTTTGTGAAGTTTAGTGAAACTTTTAACTTTATTTATGCTTATTTAGAGCACTTTATATATCTCTACACACACACACACACACACACACACAGAGAGAGAGAGAGAGAGTGTATCTGTACATTTCCTCTGTTTTAAGTTTTTTGTTTCCTCTGATCTTTTTGACCTCAGATCAATTACCATAAGAAGTTTGGGAAGATCTTCCGGATGAAGCTGGGCTCTTTTGAGTCGGTTCACATCGGGGCTCCAAGTTTATTGGAGGCTCTTTACAGGAAGGAGGGCAGCTATCCTCAGAGACTGGAGATCAAACCATGGAAAGCCTACAGAGACATGCGGGACGAGGCTTATGGGCTGCTCATACTGTAAATATTCTGGTTCTCTTACTAGATTGTATTGGTTATTTCATGACAGTTGTGGTATTTTAAACTCATGTATTTGCAGGGAGGGGAAGGACTGGCAGCGGGTGCGCAGCGCTTTCCAGCAGAAACTCATGAAACCAACCGAAGTCATGAAACTGGATGGGAAAATCAATGAAGTGAGTTGTGCTTGATAAACATCAGTTCACGCACTGCATCGTTCACGTCTATGCACGTATATGACTGCTTGTTGTCTTTAAGGTTTCAGCTGATTTGATAAAGAGGATCGGAAGAGCCCATGTCAATGGAAAGATCAATGATTTGAGTTTTGAACTGAACAAGTGGTCCTTTGAAAGTGAGTTTTCATGCCACATATACAGTACTATACTGTAAAAATGAAATGCATTTAATGTTTCTCTCTCTTTTGGTCTTACAGCCATTTGCTATGTGCTTTATGACAAACGTTTTGGGCTCTTGCAAGACAGTGTCAGCGAGGAGGCCATGAATTTCATCACGTCGATAAAAACGGTAAATTGACCATATCTTTGACCCAATCAATATTTCAATCAATAACGCTCACTGTTTAAACTATTGATGAAAGTTAAGCTTTATCCACATCTCCTTAGCTGCGTTTTGAGGCATTAGAAATGCAAAGATGCAAAGCTATAGTTAAAAAACTGATGGTGTTTTCTCACTTTCAGATGATGAGCACCTTTGGAATAATGATGGTGACGCCCGTGGAGCTTCACAGGATCCTGAATACGAAAACATGGAAAGACCACACAGCGGCATGGGACCGTATTTTTAGCACAGGTACTAAAGAGTTCCTCGATCAAATGACGTGTGACCCATAAAGCACATTTCCAGTCAGGTGATGACACATGAACTGACGGCTTTCTGCCTCAACCTCCTAAAAGAAGAAGAGTGTGCACAGCAGGAGAGAGAGAGAGAGAGAGAGAGAGAGAGAGAGAGAGAGAGAGAGAGAGAGAGAGAGAGAGAGAGAGAGAGAGAGAGAGAGAGAGAGAGAGAGAGAGAGAACCACAGTAGTAAACGCGGTGACCTAAGTGCAAGAGAATCCAGACAAATATTTGTATACCAGCAGGGAGGGAGAAAGAGGCGGTGGGAATGTTGACGCGAGACTGAATTACTCTCAGTTTGTTGTGTTGCTGTTGCTCTATTAGCGGCTCTCTCTGACAGACACCTGTCACACTATCACACACACTTCATCTTTCCTGCAGCTAAACAACAGCAGCATGCGCTGGACAAGTTCAAGGTGTCCGACACATGAAGGCTGACCATTAGACAAAAGTGCTGGCACCATACCAGTTTTTAATGAACAATTAGTCATTTACATTTCTGCATTTGGTAGAAAGTATACAAGCATATATACATATTCCTCTGAATATTGGAACAAGTATATAAAAAGATTACAAATACATAATACAAATTAAATCATTAGTTTATTTAAATGAAACATGATTCAAAGTGCTTTGCATAATACAGAAAAACAGAACTGAACAATTGTAAATTACTGTTATAAGTTAATTCAAAGTCAGTTTATTTAAAATTGACCAATATTAATATATATATTTATATATATTTAAAAATGGATAATATGCGTGTATGTTTTATATAGTATGTCAGTAAGATTAATTCAGCAAATATGCATTTAAAGGGACACTAACTGTTTTCAATATTCGTAATAAAAAGAACACTGTAAAAAATGATATGATCAGTAAGTCATGGCAACTTATGTTTTGACTACTTTAACATCAAAATAATTTAAGCAATTTCAACTTTTTATAAGTTATACAAGATTAACCTCTTTTTTCACAGTTTAATGTCATTTAAGTTGTACAGCCAATTTGAAACATTTAAGGCAGCAACTGAACTGAAAATTTAAAGCTGAAATTGTAAAATTTCCTGTGAATTATTTCTTGAGCGGCAAATCATCATATTAGAGTGATTTCTGAAGGATCATGTGACACTGAAGACTGGAGTAATGATGCTGAAAATTCAGCTTTGATCATTTTGAAATATATTAAAACAGTTCTGTAATAATATTTCACAATATTTCTATTTTCCTTCAAATAAATGCAGCTTTGGTGAACATAACTTTCAATAAAGGACACCGTTAAATAAAATCATGCATTCACTGTAAATATTATTGAGCAAATAGCATGTTATATTCACTTACATTTTCATGAAATACCATTTAAGAATGCACACACTTTTATTAAAAATCATCCCTCGGAAATGTCACCAATTACTCAAGCAATCTATCATCTTAACAGCTAAACTTTACATTGACAAGAACCTGAAGAGGCACTCGGACGGCAAAGCGGACAATTTCCTCTGCGATATCTTCCACCAGAACCACCTCACCAAGAAGGAGCTGTACGCCGCCACAACAGAACTGCAGGTCGGAGGAGTGGAGACGGTACGCATGCACAACACACACCAACTTTCACAACCCCAGACAAACAAGCCTGTTTTCCAGTCACACGCGAGCGAGCTAAAAAAAACAGTTGATTTAACTCGTCTTTGTTCTGCTCTTATCCAGGCTTAGTCCACTCAAGCGCATAAGTCAGAAGAATGAGGCAGGGCGAGCATTAATTGTTCTGCTGGGGGAATACTGTACAGTGTGTCCTGATTGACCAAACAAATCCTTCTTGTTTTCCTGCAGACGGCTAATAGCATGTTGTGGGTTATTTTCAACCTCTCCCGAAACCCCTGCGCCCAAGCAAAACTTCTGAAGGAGATCCTAGACGTGGTGCCTGCTGGGAAGACGCCTCGTGCCGAACACATCAAGAACATGCCCTACCTCAAAGCCTGCCTGAAGGAGTCCATGAGGTGAGCATGAGCGCTGTCGATGGGTCACGTTTCACCCCGAAATATACCCCAAAATGTGCTTAATTGCTCTTAAAACAGATTTTACGTATGCAAAATATCACTTCTCGTGTCTTTCTTTTGCTTTAATCAAAAGGTTTCCCCTTAATACTGGTTGAGACAATCCACTTTACACTCTTAAAAATAAAGGTTCTTCATTGGCGTCGATGATTCCATGAAGAACCTTTAAAATTCATGCACCCTTAAAAAAAGTTTTTGGGTTTCCCAAAGAATGAGAGAACCCTCTACAGAACCCTTGTCCACTATAAACAACCTTTGGTGGAAGAGAAAGGATCCATGGATGTTAAAGGTTCTTGATGGAACCATCAATGTCAGTAAAGGACCTTTTATTTTGTGTGTGGAATCTTTTCGTTGCACAAAAGGTTCTGGAAAATTATTTGGGGAAACCAAAAATGGTTCTTACACCCTTAAAAATTCCTTTTCTTTTTTTTGGCATCGATGGTTCCATCAAGAACCTTCAACATTCATGGATCCAGATTATTGAATTGTTCTTCACACGAAGAAAAAATTATTAAGAACTGCTCACTGAAAAGTTCTTCCGGGAACTCAAAGTGGTTCTTTCACTGTTAAAAATAACGGTTCTTTATTGGCATTGATGGTTCCAATGAAGAACCTTTAACATTCATGGAGTCTTTCCATTGCACAAATAATTCTTTAGATTATTCAAATGTTCTTTACACAAGAAAATAGTTCTTTAACTTTTAAAAACGGTTTACTGAAAGGTTCTTTGGGGAACCAAAATGGTTCCTACAAACTTCAAAATTAAGGTACTTTATTGGCATCTATGATTCCACGAAGAACCTGTAAAGTCCATGGAACCATTCAAAACATTACAAAAGGTTTTTATACTGGAAAAAAGTTTCTTTAGATTTTTAATATGTTCTTCACACTAAGAAAAACTGAAAGGTGTTTCGAGGAACCCAAAATGGTTCTTCTGTTGCATCCCATTTTTTAAAAAGTGTTAAATCTTTCCATTGCACAAAAAATTGTTTAGTGGAAAAGGGTTCTTTAGATTATTAAAATTCTTCATTTAAGAACTGTTCACTGAAAGGTTCTTTTGGGAACCCAAACATTTCTTACATCTTTAAAAAATAAAGGTTATTTATTGGCATTGATGGTCCAATGAAGAGAGATCTTTATTTTAAAAATGTAGCCATCCATCCCAGCACTGTTCTGATGAATGTGTGGAATCAGCTGTAAAGGTTCATATGAGGTCATACCAGGTCCAGTCAGGTGACATAATAATAGTCCCGACTGGAATCCGAAAGCACATGGAAGTCATGTTTATGCCCTCACACTTTCATGTTCCAGTCATGCGTTACAGGAAGACATGTCCTTGGACATTAAAGAAGGATAATGCTGAAGCATGTGCTGTGAATGTTGATGGTGTACTGTATTTGTGGGATTATCTAGCCTTGACTTGCATTAGCGCCATAAAGTGCCTCATACCATTCAGCTTACAGTCTCACACATGCAAAAGATGGAAATTCTCGGGAATTCTCAACAGCAAGAGGTTCATTGTTGTTGTTCTTTTTCCTGCAGAGTTTCACCCTCTGTGCCGTTCACCAGCCGTACCTTAGACAAAGACACCGTGCTGGGCGATTATACTCTGCCTAAAGGAGTGAGTATTGGTTATTCGCAGTCCTGCTCACTATACTTCCCCCTGTATGAACTCTGATCCAAAACCTATGAGCGGTCTTGATGTCTACTGTCTAACTGGCAGCTTCTAATACAACATCATAACTGAAATAAAAGTTCATAAGCAGCTGATTTGGATGAATGTGTTACATATCCTTCATCATCAGTTGTGCACCTGACTTAAAGGGATAGTTCACCCCAAAATGAAAATTCTGTCAGTAATTACTCTCCCTCATGTTGTTCCAACCCCGTAAGACTTTCGTTCATCTTCGGAACACAAATGAAGATCTTTTTGATTAAATCTGAGAGCTGGATCACTCCTCCATAGGCTTCTTAAGGGATCGAAACTGGCCGGCCCAAAAGTTATGAAAGACATCGTTAAAATAGTCCGAGTGACTACAGTGGCTCAACCTTAAGTTTATCAAGCGACGAGAATACTTTTTGTGCGCAAAAAAACAAACAAAAATACCGACTTTATTTAACTATTCATTTCCTTCTCTGTACGGCCGTGATATTTCACGTACACAAAGCTTCTGTGTTGTACGTCATGCATCACACACATGACCAGCGTCGGCCAATAGTGAGCCTACGTGTGACGTGCAACCTAGAAGCTTTGCGCAATATCACTACGTGAAATCTCGAGGCCCACGGAGAAGGAAATGAATAGTTGAATAAAGTCGTTATTTTTGTTTGTTTTTTTGCGCACAAAAAGTATTCTCGTCGCTTGATAAACTTAAGATTGAGCCACTGTAGTCACTCTGACTATTTTAACGATGTCTTTCATAACTTTTGGGCCGGTCAGTTTCGATCCCTTAAAGGTGAACTAAGTAACTTTTTTACCTTAACCGAACAGCTTTGGAGTTATTGTAATGTTTATATTACTGATTTCGTGTTGAATGGTGGTCGTCTCGCAGTTTTCATTTTTGGGTGAACTATCCCTATAAAATACTGCCTAGATAGACAGCTTACTGGGTTTTGCAAAAGACTGTAACTAGTTTGTGTCCCATTCATTACGTCATCATAATATCTACGTCATTTTATGCAATGCACATTCATATTTAGCAGTTCATGAGATGAAATTGGAGCATTATATTTATTTAACCCTATTTATTTATGTTCTCAGACCGTCATGATGATCAACAGTCAGGCTATCAGTTCAAGCGAGGAGTATTTTGACAACGGCAAGCAGTTCAGACCAGAACGCTGGCTTGAAGATAAAGGCTCCATCAACCCGTTCGCCCATGTTCCCTTCGGGATCGGAAAGAGGATGTGCATCGGCCGGCGTCTCGCTGAGCTACAGATCCAACTGAGTCTTTGCTGGGTACGTTTGCAGTGTAGCTGGACATTAAACGGTTAACAATACTTCTAGGTCGAATGTATTTTCTTCACCTAGTCCTAATATATGCTCTTTATTACAGATACTACGTGACTATGAGATTGTGGCCACAGACCATGAGCCGGTGGAGTCGCTGCATTCAGGAACACTGGTTCCCAGTCGAGAGCTCCCAGTGGCTTTTGTCCCCCGATGAGGTACTGGAACCAGCTCAAACGTTTCATTCAAGACCATAAAGATATTAGCAGAGGTTTGATGCTCACGTGTGCACCGTGAGAATCTCCTCTTGTATTTTATAACCTGTTTTTTATCTTTGCAGATATCTTGTACCAGTACTAACCTGAACCAATGACTCCATATCAATGGATCAGACACATTATGAGACCTTTATATTGCTGCTAACCTATACAGAATGTATCAGTCTCACACTTCAAATATACCTCAAACTATTAGTATACATACAGTAGTAAATATGATTATTCTATTTATTTACTTTATGGAAATGACAGGCTAAATTAAATATTTAAGGTTCTCATAATTGCTGCTACCTACTATATTACTACAGTAAATATATTTGACTAAAATGTTAAAATTATTATGTAGAGGTGGTAAATTTTCTATGCAATATTGTTTTGTACTGAAATCGTTCCATGTACAGTATTATGTAAAATTCTTTTTATTCTCTTTTTTAATACAGAAACTGTGTAGAAATGTACACATATGTCATATAAAACATAAATGTAACATTGTATTTATATACTCAATAAAATATGTTTAATGTATGTCTGTATGTGTGGTGAGAAAACAATGTGACGGTTGTAAAGCAAATCATTCAAAATCTCAATCTAGAAATTTACTGGATATTGTTCACAGCAAACCACTTTTGTTTATAATACAAAGTGTGAATGTCTTGCGGTGGTCTGATATGAATTTAACTCATTGTGTGTGACACATTAAAAATACTTTGGACTCACTTACAAAAAAGTAGCACGGTATTACTGTTTTTCTAATTTGAAGCACCATATCTGAATATAGTAATCATGCATGGTGTACCATGGTTTTACAATCTGATACCATCACTGATCAGATCTAAAAAAAAAGCGGTTATATCAGGTCTTTAATTATTAATTCTCTATTGGAGGCTGAAGTTGATTTAATAAAGGGGGGAGATACATTCATAATATACTCGTTCAAAAAAGACCTTTTTATTTTTTTCACCAACGAAAGACTCATTCTCACAGGACTGTGGGATGCCATATGCCGTGTAGGATACATCAGTCCTGTACACTGAGCATATACAGAGTGTACAAACAATAAACAGTAAAAAAAATTATTTATATTTATATTTAACTTTTCACACTAAAATGCTCGACTGCCTGTTTTTTGTTGCAAAATCCAATTATATTATCGCACAGATCTTTATAAAAAGTTGGATATATACAGTAAGTATGCCCAACTTTATCCGTATACATACAGTATTCACATGTATACTATATGGCAAATCTCAACTGCTTGTATCGTCACTAAACGTGAACTATAGCTAAACGTGACTATAAAGCATAAAGATATTGTAAACATTAACATCATGATTTTCTGCTTTGAAACAAGAATGTGTTTTGTGAAAAACACTATATAAATAAATTTGGATTGACTTGAGGTATCAGAAAATAAAAGTTATATACTGTATATGAAAATAATATATGACATTATATATATAGGAATGTGATAAAAATAACTATAGAAAATAGTGTATGTATACGTACACACGACAATTGTTTGTTTTTCTTTATTTTATTTTATGACATGTCTAACATTTTTTGTATAACAAAATGTATATATTCTATAGAATAACTATAGAAATAAAATATATTATTTTAATATTAATATGAAAATTTTAAATTTTCTATGTCGAGCATTTCTTTGTATGAAAGGTAAACTATAAAAAAAATATTCAAATAATATTAATACATTTATTAATATTAAAAAATATATTATTATTATTGTTGTTGTTATTTTTTATTACCACTGTTGTTTTTGTTGTTTTTCCCGTAAGTAAAAAAAAAAAGTGCTCTGTTGGGCGTTCTCCAGCATGAGGTATGGAGCCGTTCTCAGGGGGCTTATGGGGTGGATGGGGGGGTTTGGGTTAATTGGCCGCTCTGAGCCCGTCAGCTGACACTGGACTAACACAGATACAATGTCATCATGTTCTGGCATTTCACAAGCTATGAACTTGATGTTTTGACAGAAAGGCACACAAAAACACTGCCAAGTGATATAACATGCAACTACTGTAACTTTAACCCCAGTTTCTCAACGTCCCTTTGCTTTGGCCCGAGGCCAGTGCCGTTCACCTCGTGTTGTGTGGGCTCAGGGCAAAAACAAACTCACTACGCCAATAGAGCAATGCAATAAAGTCAAATGTCTGATTGCCGCCTGTGTTGATAGTAGTATTAGCACACCGCCGCTCAAGTAGAGCCATGAAAAAATCATCCAAAATGAATGCTTATCTTTATTCTTGCTTAACCAGTACTGTAATTGTAATGGAATGGCATTCCTGTGATTAAATTGGCATGATCTTGTCTTATAGTTTTCCTGAATTATGGCATGTGTTTATCTCATAGTAGAGCTGCTGACATAATTCCTGCTCCATCAATGCCAAACTCAAACAACAAGTTCAACATTGGGACTAAGATCCAAATTTCACATGAAGTGACATGATTGAAGTTTTTGGATAAAGGCTTTTATCAAACTATGAACAACATGAAAAAACATAATGGTGCTCTCAATGCAAACCAAATTACTCATGGGGTCATTCACCTGCTAGAAGCCCTTTATCCCGAGTTAAGAAATGGGCAACAGTCCATACAGAACTAGAAGTTTCTACAGAAACAAATAGAAAGAAGACACTGAATTCTGTCAGGTTGTTCACTTATATTACGAAAACATACGGAATAGCAAACAAAAATATCCAGTAATAAAATAGGGATGCAAAAATACATTAATCAAAAGTGACAGTAAAGATATTTTAAAAATATTCCATTTCAAATAAATGCAGTTCTTTTAAACATTCTATTCATCAAAGATTCCTCATAAAGTCAGTTTCCATAATGTGAAAATGTGAAAATATGAAGCAGCACAACTGTTTTCAGCATTGATAATAATCAGAAATGTTTCTAGAGCAGCAAATCAGCATATTAAAATGATTTCTGAAGGATCATGTGACACTGAAGACTGGAGTAATGATGTTTAATAATGATGTTGAATAAATTAATATTCATATAGAAACAATTATTTTGAATTGTAATAATATTTCACAATATAACTGTTTTTATTTGATCAAATAGATGTAGCCTTGGTGAAGCAGAACTGACGTCTTCTTCCAATACAATTTTAAAGAATACAGACCCCGAACTTACCGACGATATCATAAATATAAGCAGCAGGACAACACAATTGTTCACAGAATGAAACTGTTTAACCTGTAGAAACCCTACACACACAAACCAACCTATATCCATATCAGCTTTCTCCTTATCATTCATGAGGCTTTACTGTACACCAGCAATGTGGAAGTTTTCTAATCTTTAAGAGGTCATTCACTTCAAGACAGCTTCTACTCGAGGTATAAACAGTATAATCTCACTGTGAATCAGCAGTTACGTGAATCCAGATCATTCTTATACTTCCAATGTCAAAAGATTTATTGCTTATACTTGAATTCATCTGTAAGCTTTGTTTCCCGAGGAATACCTGTAATACTTTCTGGGATACTTTCTAAACCATGATCACTGGGAGACTGTAAAATATGAAAGTTACCATCTGATGCGACAGACCTGTTATATTCTGAGGAACAAACTATTAAAGAGTAAAAGGAAAATCGCTTATATTGTATTAAAACTGAGAGTTGCATTATATTTCACAAAATGACAAGCATTACACATCTGCCAAATGATCTCACACGCAGTTTGGATAGAAAATATCGGATCCACCTGAGAACGTTTATCCAACACTCTTAGAAAAAGGTACAAAAGCTGTCACAGGAGCAGTACCTTTTCAAAAGGTATACTTTTGTTCCTTTTATGAACTAATATGTACACTTAAGGGAACTAATGTATACCTTTAAGAAACCAATATGCACCCTTTAAGTACAAAAGTGTAGCTTTTGAAAAGGTATCGCCACAGTGACAGTTTTTGTACCTTTTTCCTGAGAGTGAAGCAAGAGCAAAATTAACAATATAAAGTTGATGCCTCCATCTAGTGTCTGTTTAGAAGTAGCGCAACAGTGGAGATTTTGAAAAAAAAATCCATTTTATCAACATCAAGTGTTCATTGTAACATTACTTTTACTAAAGCACACTTTACCTTAATTGTTAATCACCCTATAAATCATTTTGAATGAGCTCCATGATTTTGATAACTGACTTTGAGGGAGACATTTTACAATGAATAACAGTATTTGTATTTTCAATGTATTTCCAATGTTAGTCACACTTACTTTTTATTTTATTGCAACAGAACATATACAAAAATTGTACATGAAAATACATCTCACAACAAGTAGAAAATAACAATCAGAAAAAAAAGAAAAAAAAGATCTTGCCAGGGGTAAAATTACAATAATTTAAAGTAACAAAAAGCTTCATAGGTCTTTCTTGCTTTTTTGTTCTTAATTTTATCTAATGTATTACCATATTGTTTAATCTCTTTTATAAAGTGTTCAAAGCTTGGCTTATAGCTTTAGTCCATTTTTTCACATGAATGTGATATTTTCCAAGTAAAATAAAAAGTTGTATAAGGAAGCACATCTTACTTTTGTTATCAACATTGTCCTGCACAAAAAAAAAAAAAAAACTACATCAAACAGCTCAATTTGTATATGTTTCAAACAACTTAGAAATGAAATTTGAAACATCCAACCAAAACATTTTTGAATATATACAATTAAAAAAAAGATGAGTCACAGATTCTTTGGCATTGCCACAAAATTCGCATAAGTTTTCAATATTCAAATGGAAACGTTCAGAATGACAGGGTAAATTCTGTGTACAATTTTATAGGATACCTCTCTAATTTTATTATTAACACAAAACTTATTTGTTATAGACCATACTCTTTTCCAATTAATATTTTCAAATTTAGACGACCAAAAACCTGTTGAACAAGGCAATAAGTTTGTTTTTAAAGTATTTCTAATAAATCTGTTACTGCATTTATCTATTAATATCCCCAATAAATATTGTATCACTACAAAAACTGGTTTGACGATCACCATTTATATATAGGATATAATCCAGGATTTCGTAATAGTGAAACAACTCTGCCAGGGATTGCATCAAAAACAATAGCATATTCTTTTGGCCTCACAGGAATCATAAACTTATTGAGAAATTCAGAATAAGTTAAAAGTAAACCTTGTTCATTAAGCAACTGATTAACAGTACGACTTCCATTGTCGTACCATGTCTGATTAAAGATTGACTTTTTTTTGTACAAGACATCTTTGTTATTCCATATAAAGTATCGATGCGGTGAAAAGTTGTGTTTGTAGATTAATTGCCAAGCCAGAAGTGCCTGCTTATGAAATATTGCCAGTTTAACAGGGATTTTTTCAACTGAGAAATTACACTTTAAAAGAGTTTGAAAAAAAATGACCAAAACCAAAGAAATCAATAACTTTGAACATAAACAAATGTTCAACAGTGTCAAACGCTTTATAGAAATCAATAAATAATATAAAAGAATCATCTGGGATAAGGTGTCTATAATCAATTAAATCTAAAATTGGTCTTTAGTCACACTTACGTCTCGACAGGATGTGTATTTATGACGTCAATTCAATTTATGTAAGGAGAACGAATCAGCTTCACCCTAGACGGGGCTTCATCTGGGCTGTGTAATGAACTTTACACATGTGTAATGCACAGAAATAATGAAATTTGTAATAATGCACATATATGTACTGTATTGCAAGCAAGAAATAATCCAATTCAGAATCCAGAATCATAAAAGTGAAAAATCTTTAATAGCAAATTTCATTACATTTGTGTGATGTAAAACAGTGCTCTAAAACTTCTGTAAAAAGTGCTACTAAGCTTAAAGAAAATCAGTAGCCTACACAAATCAGACCTACAAAAGAAACTTTCAGCCTTTAGATGAAAAGTTAATGATCAATGTTCTTCTCCATGGTCAGAATCGTGGCTCTAGTCATCCAGATCATCCACTTTGGGAACTCAGATTGCGTGTGAACCAGGACGAGTTTAAAGCCCAGCTTAAAGTACAGCGCCACGGCTGCTCTCTGCGTAGAAGAGGTGGAAAGCTCGATCTTTGAGAAGCCACGTTCCCTACAGAAGTCTTCCGCAGTTTTAGCCAGCTGTCGACCGAGACCAGTACGGCGACAGGTGGACGAAACAATCATTCGGTAAACCTCGCCATACTTCTTCCCATCACTTCCCGGGTCATTTTTTCCTTCAACGGCCACCATCCCCAAAATCTGAGGCCGGCCGCTCACCTCAGCTTCGGCAACCCAGAAGCAGTTGTCTGGATTACTGAGGTAGTAACCCGGAATATCTTGCATATCCGTGTTCAGTCTGGCCCGCACGTAGCCGGCGTAGAACTCGTAGCAGCAGAAGAACACGAGACCTATCCAGGCTCCTCCAGACACCAGGGCCAGAAGCACTGACTGTCCACCCCACACATACGAGCCCATGTAGAAGAACAGGCTCACAGTGATGTGCAGCGGACGGGTCATGGCGTACAGGAACGCAGGATTGATGTGCTCCTCTATTCCATCTCGGAAAACTCTTTCGACAGCCTCCCGGTCAGAGGGCTGATAGCGCCGGATCACACTGTGCACTGGTGGAGCAATTCCAATAGAAATCAGCAAAATACAGAAAAGAATTTGAAAATGCACTGTAATTTATTTAGTATATACAAAATGTTATATATATTATATAAAAATACAGTTATAAAATATACATAAAAAAGCATTTTACTGTATATATATATATATTATTTAGAGGGGTCTACTAACAGTGCATGCTATTTATGGCTACTAAAGGTATATACAGTTTTGTGTATGTTGCATGTTATGTCTGTGCCTTCTGAATGGACCAAGAGTCTGGAAATAAAGTTGATGATGATGACATACATACATGACACACATGGCATGTTTACATGACAACGATGTACTAAAAACGGAAACGTTTTTTTCGTTGCGAAAACGTCTAAAACGCTGTATTCTGCTGCCAGGCCAGTAGATGGCGATGTCACTTTGAAAAGAAACACTATGCACCCATAAAAAAAAAACACGTAATGCACACTTTTGTTGTTTTCATGTAGACAATAATAGTATTATTTCCAAAAACTTGCACTTTGACGTAAATGGCAGCAATCGCCAGCAAACCCGAAACAGCCAAACCGCCGGTGTTGTGTAAATGAACATTCAAAACCGAACGCATTAAAGCTTTCAGTTTTTTTAGTTGAAAGTGTCATGTAAACAGCCCCTAAATGATCTATTATTATGTTTCAAAAACCACACAAACTGAACACGACGGTCGTCTGTATGTGAAAACCAACTTTTGTGTTTTTAGTAAACATACCCTCAATGACTTGAAACTTTTTTTATGAACGACAAACGTTGCTTCTGGCCAGCTGTCATATGCGGGTTCATGAGTTCATGCTTGACATAAACGCCAGCAATCGTGTTGCGTGGTTTTTGAAGCGTCAACTTTGGAGTAAACTTGCATTATATGGATTTGCAGGGATGAATTATTTTTCTAAAAATCTTTGTTTGTGTTCATCTGAGACGGCATAAGGTGAATAAAGGTTTAATTTTTGGTAGGAATATCCTTTTAATTATAAAGTTTTACTCAAAAATATTTGACGACAGAACACAATTCGAAATGATAACTTTTTGGTTATTTCGTATCTTTACAAATATATATGGCTTTTAATGTGGATTTTAAACAATTATCTGACCTTATCTGATTAATTCAAACTACATACAAGCATCGCGCAAAACTTTTAAAACCTCAAAATCCATTAGTTAGACGTTTATATAAGATGGAGATTTTTTTTCTTCAAAAGTCAATGTGGCGACACGTGGAAGATTCCTGAGAGCATATATACATATATACATACATAAAATACACATATATATATATTTATATATATATATATATATATATATACACACACACACATATATATATATATATATATATATATATATATATATACATACACATACATATATATATATATATATATATATATATATATATATATATATATATATATGTATGTATGTATGTGTATGTATATATATATATATATATATATATATATACACATACATATATATATATATATATATATATATATATATATATACATACACACACACACACACATATATATATATATATATATATATATATATGTGTGTGTGTGTGTGTGTTATGCTGGTGAGCTAATGATAACAGTTTTCACGTTTTGGTGACACTGCAAAGCATAAAAACAATTAAAATCCGTTTGTTCATATCACAATGCAGGTGCAGAATAGACAGACAGCCAGAACTGTTCGCTACTTACTGTTTAATGTGATTATCCTTTATTTCCAATCAGTGTTCGGTTCCTTTCTGGCAGAACCTTTTTTTTACAGTCTATGGACAGAACCTGCACTGTCGATCACATGATGCGCGCGTGTCAAACTCAAAGACAAAGTTATCAGCGGTTTTATCAGTTCAAAGTTCACAAGTTTACAGGATTAGACATTCTCGATTCAGATGGAATTTTTTTTTAATAGTTAAAAAAAAGTGTATAGTTTAATTTGCATGCATAAAAATGCCATGAACCTGGGGAAAGTAAATGAGAGTGCCGAGATTCCATCCCTCACTCATGTGTTCCTCTGAGGGTCAGTCGCGCTGTTCTGCTGTTATCGCCCTCTAGCGTTACTGGCCGGTTCTGCTGCGGGGTTTGACCGCACTGCTTGTGTTTGATGTGCTGTATCACTGCTATTATGCTAATATTAGTAATTTTGAGAGTAGCATATTTTGCCCTTCATTGTTTAAATATGTTCAATTGACCTCAATAGACTGAAACTGAGGCTTTAATCTGCCCTGTTCTGTGGTGTCATAAAGCATTCACTTTAGTGAGATTCAGTTTAACCCCAGCAAAACCACATTGCAGGAATACAATACATTTTCAATTTGGTGTCTCAGTAGAAATTAACTTATGAAAAAATAAATCTTGAACTAATGGTTCTTGGTGATACCAAATGCAAGGTGAAACTTTTTGATGATTCCTTATCGCTTAAATCAGGGGGTTTCAAACTGGGATGCAGGACCCACATGGGCCACAAGGGAGTGCAAGGGGGTCTGTGGAAAAGCTGAGTAAAAATAAATAAATAAACATAAAATTAAACTAAATAAATCAAATTGATTAAAATAAAAAAATATTCAAATAAGCAAATAAAATTGGATTTAAATAAATAAAAAATAAATCAATGGATTTTATTACACTACATTTATTAAAATAAATAAATAAAAATAAGATTAAACTAAACGAATAACATTGATTAAAATAAAATGTAATTTAAGTGAATATAATTTGATTTAAAAATACATAAATAAATAATACATTGATGCATTTTTTATTACAATGCATTTATTAAGATAAATAAATAAAATAAATATTTGATACATCTAAATTTATTCAAATAAATGATTTAAATAAATATAAATATGAAAATTAAATAAACAAATTGATTAACTTAAATTGATTAAAATAAATAAATGAAATTAGCTTTAAATTAATACATAATATTAATTGGGTCTTCTTTATACATAGGCTATACTGTATAGTAGGGCTGTCTTTTAAAAGTTAGGATGGGGGGTCCGTGCATCTAAAATATTGTGTGATTGTTAGTGTAGATAAGGCTTTTGTTAAACGCAGCTCATATTGTGTTCACTTCACACTGTGTGTGGCTTAATCGATGTTTCTGATTGATAATCGGCCGCGGGCTTTAGGACCCGGATGCTCGGTTAGTCCAGACACCGGTTGATGATCCGCTCGCGACTCATTCAATGTCTTTTATCAAAGAACAATAAACGCTCGTCTCAACCGGACAGGTTACACACGTTTATGCTCTTGCGTTAACATTAGTCCTCTTACTTCTAACAGAGACTGGGCTGAGCACTGCACATCTGCAGCCCCGGCGAGCTCCTCCTTCATCCAGCCCGCTTCAGGCCACCGGTGACGGGCAGCATGAGCCAGAGCCAGAGGTTCACCGTGACTGCCGGTGACATGCAGGGGGAAGTGAACCAGCTGTTCGAGGGCGATGAGGAGACACCGACACCGAGCTCTGCTGAAGCTGATGCTCAAGCCTTCGGGAAAGGTGAGAGATGTTTAAGATGTTCTGACACCTGTGAAGGATAAACTCATCCAACAGCTGGGAATATGTGAGACTGGGATATTAATATTCAACACGCCGCCCTCAACCATCAAAGCTATGACTATGTGATGGACTATCTTTCACTACAGTCTATACCTATTCCATATGATATTGGTTCAGATTTAAAAAAAAAAAAAAAATTAATTGTAGGAACAATCCATAAAAACTTATCATATTTTACATCATACATTTTCATATCTGTAACCCAGGTCGGTATGGCATTAAATGCACTAAACCTTTTAGTTTTAATTTTCTACATCATACTTAATGCTTTAATAATGTCCAGTCAGTGCAAAAACTACATTTTTATTAATATTATTTCATATCACAAGTAATGTAGGCTACTGTTTCATTTATAGGCTACAATATGAATATATTATTTGATAATATGAATAGGAGTGTAGCCCAATATTTCACAGAATATCATAGTTGCAAATCCATATAACACATATGCATCTATGCAGATAGATAAATTACACTCATTCATATTTTATATAAAGTAATATTTCATACATTATCAAGGAAATCCATTTAAACTTGTTTTATGAACAAATACAAAAGTATCAGATTTTACATCAAATTGCCCCAATTCTTATTAAAAAACTGAACTAGCCTTGCAAACTATTTTGATTTGTTATCTTTTTTTAATTTTCAGTGCATATATATATATAGTTCATAGACTAGACTACATTGATTTATATATTTGGCCCTATATAAATTGTGTATTTCATATGATAATATAGTCTATATTTTTATATATAGACTATATTGATTATATTTGCATTTCATAAGGACTAATAAAATCCACCTGGCGTTGATGTATAGAAGTGCTTCAGGATATATGGCATTAACTGCACTGAAGCATTGGGTTGTATTTGTCTACAGCAGACATGAAGCTTTTGTATGCAGTGCAAGCGTCCATTTACCTTCCCTAAGCTCAAACTGTTATATACTGGGTTCATAATCTGTGTAAACTTTGAGATTTGAGCCTTCTTTGTTTCAGGAAAGAGAATCTGCTCGATTTAACATCTCTTCATCAGTACTGCAATGCCAAATCTGACTAACAGAGAGGGCATTTTTTTGTGTAAAGTTCCTTATAGTGATGATTTAAAGAATTGATGCAGTATGACGATGCATGTAGATGCTTTTCACAGCTTTTCAGAAGCTTGTTGAAATGGTTACACTGTCTTGCCATGTCTGTTAGCCTTAAATGGTTGTCTGTCTTCACATAATGGCACTTCTGATTATACTTGATGAAGCCTTTGAATATTGAATGAGGCAAAATGTGTTTTAGGCCCAGTAAGCTGTATGACATACAGGAGGTCTATTAAAGGTAGTTTTATTCAGCTGTAATCATTAGCCTCTTGAGTTTTGCAAATCTTTTTCTCTATAGTTCTGATAAATATTAAGCAATTATCTCATTTAATGGGCTTTCTCTCAGGGGCTTGATAAATGCAACAAAAACAGTCTGGCTTTAATATTACAAGAAGTAAATTGTCTATGCAGTGCATCATAACATATTTGTTGTTAGTTTTGTGGAGCAGATTTTGAAGCAGACAGATTTCACTGTTGATGGGAATTTTTAATGTCAGATGATGACAGAAATAGAAAGTGACCCACTAAATACAGTGAGTTAGAAGGACTGGAGTTGGTGTTTCTTGGCAAAGTTTGCTTGCTAATTAAGGGCTATTAAAAGGCTTTATTTTTTTTATTTTTTTAACTGCTTTGGAGCAATATGCATTGCAGGGTTCTTAAAAAGCCTTAAAAGCATTGAATTGATTAATTTGGAAATAATACCTTAAAAAGACTTTAAAAAGTCTTGAATTTTGATGTCTGAGTCTTAAAAATTGTGCTGTATGTAACTTCTCCGTATTGTATTTTTCCTCAAAAGTTTAATTTGTCAACCACGATTTTTATGATTTTCGATGTTTATTGTTCAGGGGTCTCTCAGCTCCCCATATTCCCAGCATGGAATAAGTAGCTAGCTAATGTTAAAAAACACAACTTAACATTCTTCGGCAAACTTTCTTGTGGCCTACTGAAATGTTTTTATTTTTCACACCTGCTTGGCTTATCATCTTTTACCCATTCCACATTTGAAAAATAAATGAACACAAGTTCAAGGATTTTGTTTTTCTTTGCTGGTATGGGACGTGAAATAGGTATTAATTTTTTATATAAATGGTCTTAAAAAAGACTTGAATTTAACTTGAAGAAACCTGTAGGAACCCTGGCATTGGAACAAGTGCAATAATTGTAATATACTTGAATTGTTCTATTCAGTTTTACTCCAAATGCTTTTAGTTCTGCCCCCCTGGACAGGTCTCAGGCCGTTTACTCCTGCTATTAAGATGCGTTTTGGTCGATCGGATCGCAAGTAGACGAGGCAGACACGCACCAGTTTACACCTGGTGTTTTAATCCATCTCTTTTGTACAGATTCAACCGCTTCTGTCCTGATTTCTTCGAGGGGAGGGTTTATGTGTGTTTTTTCAGATCTTTCAATCTAATGGACAAAACAAGCTTGCGCAATTATAAATATGAATGCGCCCGGAGACGACGGAAAAACACACGGAGAGCATCAGCTTCAGTTTCTCTGACAGACTGTGTTAAAGTGTGTGTTAGAAAGCAGGAATGGTGAGAGAACATCGTGCTTGGTACTTTTTCATCTTCCAACCAAACTTGGGTCTTCAGCTGACAGTTTAAATCCCGTCTGGTTAGCGCTCTTCTCATAATGTTCACACATCAGGTCAGTGGAAACTAAGAAGACATTCTTTTGTGGCTGTTGAACTCATTCGTCCACATGAGCGTTTACACTACGAAAGCAATCCGATTGAATGTGTTTTCAACTACCTCTGAAAGTGGACAAGACCCCGTTTACACCTTTATTCAGCGTCGTCCACTTGTGATCCGATCGACCAATACCAGGTGTACACACACAGGGCCTCAGAGTTTGATGAAGTTTGGTTATGAATGCCTGTCTTCTATCACACATTTCTGTGAATGATGGGTAGCTCTGCTCTAAAACCTAGTGAGCTGCCTACCTAGACACCATTTTAAGGGATCACAAGTAGGGGTGGGGATCTTTAGGAATGTTATGTTCTGGTTCTGGGAATCACAATCCAATTCCAAAGCAATCTACTTTTTTTTCTCTGATCAATTAACATGTTTACAGACTTTTATTAAATTACTTGTAAGT